TTTTTTTGTTTTTTTTAGGCCCATATTTAAACCTTTATGATTTATTTAAACTTTCATATCTTAGAACATTTTCTTAAAAATGGGCTGGAAAGCTGGCTATAGCTTTGTGGAAGGATCTGGTTGTCTGATGCTGCCAAGCTGATGAAGTCATAGCTAGCCTAGCCATCAGTACTATCAGAGATCTGAGAAGGATAAATTATACCTGAGTGCAGACCAAGCAGCTTCCAGTTCTATAGGGACCAGTCCATACCCAGGTCTCCATAGCATTGGAGACACAAGTATCAGAACAGCATCAATCTTCTTCAGCCATTGGGCCCATAAGGGGAGAGTTTTTCCTGTGAAAAAGGGACGTGGGAAAGACTGATCTTACTTTATATAGGCAAAAGGAGTGCAATCAATTCTCCAGTGTCCTGCTGCTTGTCCACAGCCTGGGCTGGGTCCTGGTAGTAGGTGTTACATCGGGGCATCTTGCCCTGTGGTCAGCATTGTCATAATCCAGCTGGAGACATCATGGTGCCCTGTAATCTTTTTTGGAGTCCTTGGGTCACTGCTAGGATCTGGGATTCTGTCTGATATAATAGCTTTTAGATCAACATTTTAAATGCCATATTCTGCAGATCTCTGAAGTACGAAGGCTGTCCAGATATATATGAACAGACAAACTTTGTTTCTAGTTACTTGTTTTAAGCTCAACCCTGAAAACATATACGAGGGACTGAATAAAGCTTATCCCTGTAATTAATTACATCAGTACTTAGCATGACTTCAATGAAAGAACTTGGTTATTTATAAGATGACTGACTATTTACTTGTGTTTTCTTTTCTTTTTTTCTTTTTTTTCAAGACAAGGTTTCTCTGTGTATTTTTGTTGCCTGCCTGGGATCTCTCTCTGTAGACCAGGCTGGCCTAGAACTCACAGAGATCCGCCTGGCTTTGCCTCTTGAGTGCTGGGATTAAAGGCATGTGCAACTGCCACCTGGCTACTTGTGTTCTCTACAGTCTATAATAAGTAGCCTTAAAAACAATGATTTTAAATTGAAGCTCTTCTAGTATCAAATACAGGTTCAGTAAAGAAACCAAAACAAAATGCCCATATGTTAATAAAAGGGCTATAAGTTCCTTTTTTTCGGAGATAAGGAGGATGATTCCCCTTTTAGCAAGCAAGAACTTTCTCCAAGCCCTTGAGGGGATGGGAGCTTTATCTAAATGACCTTGGGAAAGGGACTTTGTAGTTTTATCTCTGTTAACTATGAGCCTTAAAAAAAATTTCTCAGCCGGGCGGTGGTGGCGCACGCCTTTAATCCCAGCACTCGGGAGGCAGAGCCAGGCGGATCTCTTGTGAGTTCAAGGCCAGCCTGGGCTACCAAGTGAGCTCTAGGAAAGGCGCAAAACTACGCAGAGAAACCCTGTCTCGAAAAACCAAAAAAAAAAAAATTTCTCAATTGAAGCTCCTTTTAGTATCAATATAAAACATTTATATGACTTAGTTTATCCAAACAGCTTAAGTTTAACAAATTTAGCAAAGACAAAGAGGCTAAACATATATTCTTAGGCCTGAATAGACCTTGAGTAAGGAAAAATATTCTCCAAGCCATTGGTTCTCAACTTTCCCAATGCTTTGATCTTTCAATATAGTTCACCATGTCGTGGTAGCCCCCATTTCAAAATTTTTACTGTTGTCATTTCATAATTGCAGTTTTACTATTGTTATAAATCTTCATGCAAACAGCTGACATACAGGTGGTCCTAGGCTACCCCTGTAAATAGGTTTTTCAACCCCAAAGGTTCGAGACTCATGGAGTCAGAAGCTGTTCCAAGCTCTTTGCCAGACTTCTTAGGTCTTGCTGCATCACAAGAAATGAACATCTCAGTTTCTGGTGACTATCATCTGGGTGACTCTTAAATTACAAAGTTTAGCTGCCAGAGCAAGGCACATTCTTGTGTATAAAAGCATTGAGATGCTGCTTTAATATTTATCAAATACCTTATTTAGTAAATATATGTAGCCATCTATTTAAATTCTCTAGAAGCTTGCTGTTGAACACTTGGCAAAGATATAAGTACTAAGGTGTAAATCTCTTGTTAATCTGAATAGATCTTTATAACCTTAGTAAAAGGTGGCTGCTGAAAGCCACATGGTTGCTGTTTAAAACATGATCTTTTAAATAATAATTATATGCACACATAAGCATAGCTGGATCCAAGTTACATATATACACATAGAGTTAAAGCTAGTTACATTCATACATATAGAGTTAAATCCAAGTCATATACATGTCCATGTATATCATATGTATATATCTCTATTTTCAACAAACATTTTGCAGTGAAGAATCATCAGCTATTTTTTAAAATGAACACCAACCAGAATTAACCTAATATAGTCAAATTTCAAAATCAGTATTTGCATGTATGAGAAACTATAACATAGTTCACATCCCTTCTGGCCTTCTACAACCTTCTATGTACCTTCAGTCTGTTCCTTTGATCCCTCAGACATTTACTTCAGACAAATTCCTCTTTTCCTTTAATTCTCTTTATTATTCCAGTCTCCTGCTTCCACTCTTATTTTTTAAACACAGAAACTTTTACCAAAGTCTCTCTTGTGGTTTCTCTCAGTAGTCTATAATATATTGTATGGCTACACTATTTTAAACAAGAACAGAAATACATGCATATATCATAACAAGAATAACTCTAAATTTGCATCAACACTAGACCAATGTGAAACATCTGAAACTAGCAGTAGGTTTTTTCCCCTCTTTTTTTAACCAATAATAATTTGTAACCAACCCCTCTAAATGATGACAAATATTTATAATCTAGCGGATCTGAATGATCAAAGCAGCCTTGGCTACAGCATTATAACACAGCTGCCATAGCTTAGCAACCATAGGCAGCGACATTCCATTCCACCCTTGGAGCCAATCCTTGGCCGGCAGCCCCAGGGCAGGTCTTGGAAGCCCCACCTATCAGCATGGGAGGGGACAGCAGAGCAGTGTGGGGACAAAAGATTGTTGTTAACTCTAGATTCTCAAGGGCATGAGAGCGGTAGACTGGGGGGAGGGGGGCAGTAGGGCCCCTGTAGGCCACTCCTCCAGAGTCCCTGCCCTGGCTGCCACTCACCAGCATGCAGTACTACAACAGTGTGCTCCCCTGCCCTCCCCTGTGTGTGCTCTGGGTCAGAGAACAAGGAACAATGTGGGGTAGGAGTACTCTTAGTCTGTCCCAGTTCAACCAAAGGGATCCTTTGTCCCTTCTACTGGCCATCTAGCCCCAAAGGCTGTCCATGTACAGTTTCTTTTCTGGAGTCATAACACATATATAAGCAAAAACCACGCCTGCTTATGGCCACATTTCTCATATATTCATATAGGCAGGACATTCCAACAAAAGGGCAAACAATTTTCCCAGGGAAACAGTGTCAACTCAAAATCCTAAAATAAGAGTCTACAGTTTTTGTAAGTCAGGAAAAGAAAAAATTACAACACACAAGACAAAAAACAGCTCTCCTGGTGCCTGGAGACAAAACCAAAAGGAAGACACCGACTTCATGCCGTCTCCATCTATACAAATCCAATTCAAATACGAATCAACCAAAGGGATCCAAACCCGTCCAAAGGACCTTCTGCATGTACTTACAAGTTTTGAGCTCACTTACAAAAGGATATCCAACAGGCCAAAAGGCCCACTTACGAAAGCATATCCCAAAGCCCACTTACAAAAGGGTATCCAAACAAAAGTAAACAGAAAACAAGAAAGTAAACACAGGGCTGGAGAGATGGCTCAGAGGTTAAGAGCACTGACTGCTCTTCCAGAGGTCCTGAGTTCAATTCCCAGCAACCACATG